GCAGGAAGATGGAGCGAAAAGTCAAAGAGACAACTGCTAGCTCATCAGACTGGAGACCACGTGAATGCAAGTTCAAATCAAGTTGGTTGAATAAAACGTAGGCAGATACCCGGAGAACGCGGGCGATTCAGAGGAAATCAGCTAACGTAAGCACGAATGCGTGCAACGCGATGGCAATGATGTGCACAGCAGATAGCTAACGTTGTCACAGCAGATAGCTAACGTTGCTTCTCAAGCAGCAGATAGCTAACGTTTGTACAGCGATAGCTAACGTTGTCGTTGTCACAGCAGATAGGTGGAGGACGTTGTCACAGCAGGAGTAGCTAACGTTGCATCACATCAGATACGCTAGACACGTTGTCACCGCAGATTTAGCCTAAAGTTTATCACCGCAGATAGCTCAACGTTGTCCACCGCAGGATATAGGGCTAACGTTGTCACATCAGACATAGCTAGACGGTTCTGTCACCGCACGATAGCTGAACGTATGTTCACATCAGGATAGCTAACGGTGGTGTCGTCGTGTCACAGGGGGCAGATAGCAACGTTCGGTGTCACAAGCAGTTAGCTAGCGCGTTCTGTCACAACAGATAGCTAACGGATTGTCACAAGCAGACGCAGCTAACGTTGTCCACAGCAGATATGCTAACGTCCGTGTCACAACAGATAGTCTAACGTTTGTACACAACGGCAAGATAGTTACACGTCGCTGTCACAACAGATAGCTAACCGTTGTCGGTTAGTCACCCGCAGAATAGGGCTAACCGTCTTCGTCACATCAGATAGCTAACGTTGTCATTGTCACATCAGATAGCTAACGTTGTCGTTGTCACACACATGCACACGATCTGAGCGGCCAGATCAGGTGTAAATACTAGATCAATATGTTAGTGACTTTTGCATGAATATGTTTTACCTCTAATAGCGCAGGAGAATAAAACCTACGCATCTACCTGGATAGAGTTGTTTCATTAATTCCATCGTACATGTTTGCAGTACTATAGTGAGCAAATTATTAAGGTTATCAAATAAATTGATGAATATTTGTGAATAAATCTAAATAAAGTGATTGTAATATTTTATAACCTATGGTTTTATTTGCACAGTAATAAATCGCTAGATGCCATACAATGGCGATTTACTCAATTAGGCAAAGAAATTCTTAATGATTCACAATTATATAATTTCAAACAAAGATGGTTAGTAAAAACATCGTATCTTCAAAACTATTTCCGGTACTTGAACAGAACAATACTTCCTATCACGAACGATGCATACTTATTAAATACGTTCTTTCTGTTGGTAGATAATAGATCTATCTTGGTTAATTTTTACTCAACTGTGTTGATTCAAAACGTACTCAGCTTGAGAAAGCCTCCTGATAGGAGGCGAAACGTCAGCAGTACGTTTTGAATCAACACGGTCGAGTAAAAATTAACCAAGATAATTCTACGATGCATACTATTTACATGTAAAACATCACCACTACAAGAATACATGAATAACTAAACCTCAAAACTGCCGATATTACCCTACTTGAACACTCTCACCAACCTTAGATATGTTATACCTAGTGATAATAAAATCACTAGATATATTTCACACTCAGCACACTTACATCTCTCTTATAGCATACACACAACTAATACCTTCACGTTTCAATTTCTTGCATTTAATTCGTCTACACTTGCTTTAATCCTTGTTACATGATTATGAGTCATAAATATGAGAATTATCATCTTACACTACAGAATTACGTATGTATATATACATGTCTCTATGACTAGCGGTTCATAGATTTCTACTTTTATCAACAGCATCATGTTCATGAAAACGTTTACATCCATAACGCAACTTAATTTACATGCCAGACTGAGAATAGTTATTCTCCAGTATAAAATATGTATCTATATTCTGTGCTAGGCTGCTGCTGCAGATAGATGATAGATAGATATAGATGATGTGCTACGTTGGTGACTATACCAGTAGCCTAGGATGATGCCTAACCCATAGAATGCGTGTGCAAGAGAATCCCAGGACAGATTAAATACAGAGCTCTGCCACAGATGGCAGCACTTCCACTGATTTCACCGCAGTCAAGCTCCTAGCATCACCACATGCCGATCCTTAATTGAGAGGGCTTCGGAAGAATCCGCCGCCACCAGAGTTGTACAGCTTGCGCTTCTTGGTCATGATGCCTCCCTCAAGTGGTGACTCGGTCTGCACCCTGACTGCAGTGCTGGCTGCAACGTCACTGTCTGTGTCGCTGCTGTTACTGGTAGCCGTGTATGTCACTCTACGCCTGGCCTGCTCGAACTAAAACGACAGACAATGACGGAGTTACAGACATGTGCTTGTAAGTGGAAAGAAACTCGAGAAGCGAGTACGACACAGATGTAGTTTAGCGCGAGTCATTCGGAGACACAGAACTAGAAGATAGTACGGCTATAATCCACAGTATAGTTTACCTTCTCATTTAGTGGTGACATCATGGCAATACTACTTGGAGAGGCGACAGGTTTTAGAGGGGAACACTTCACTGTTATATCCTCCTTCTTTACCTCGTACGTTGTGTTCGTGCCATCAGAGTCATCGTCCTGTCGTGAACCAAAAATGAAACAAAGAATCGCGTTAACCATCGAAGATCATCCTTGAGAAATCCACGAGCCTATTCAATCACGTGATCATCATCTAATTCGATTCCATTATCAACACCCATTTCATTTCTATTAACATCAAACTCAAATTTCATAAACCGACTGAGAAAATGATGGACAGATGTAGATAACAGAGATTTTTCCTTCCTGCTAGCGTTTCCTTTCATACCTTAGTGTGAAGACAACCCAATGCAATCAAGACGAAATTTACATCAGCTAGACAGACACTGTGAACACACACGGCTTTCTCTAGTAACAGCTAGAATGTTTATTTGTTGTTATGCTGGAAAGGCCAAAATGAAGGTGCCACGTACGCACATTTCTGCAGCCAATCGCACCGCGCACTTACATTCTCCTGGCTTCTCCTATTAGAGCAGCTTCCAGCGTTACAAGCACAGCTCGGACCACAGGGCTGCCCAGACTTGTTGCAGGTACAGTATTTACAAGTTCCTTTCTTACACCTGCAACCAGCCATCGAGCTGACCCTCTACAACATAGGCATGGATGAAATCCCATTAATTACTGTTATAACGACTTGACAAGCAATCGAATTCTGGTTAGCATGATAGATGTTTACACCGGTGATGCCAAATTATCGGAGAATAGATTTTTGTAGGCATGCTTGGCCACTCAGTGATAACTCGACAAAGGCCTACGTGAGTATATAATAACTTCACTAACTACATCGCACTTCCTCACCACAACTCTCTTCGCTACGGCAAAACCACGTTTAGGTGCACTTAATGACAGTGGCTGTTACCTTGCTGGGGGCCTCATTCTCGTGCTTGGTGCGCCTCGCTCGCCGGATGGCTTCACGAGCCTGCTTCATGTAGGGCGTAGCATGCCAGTCAGCGTCGTTTAAATCGTCGGTGAACGAGCCGTCATCGGTGGAGCAGTCACTCAGGTAAACAATGTCCGACTGCTTCTTCTCATTCTTTGTCATCGCGTGATCATCCCGCGAAAAATACTGAACAGTGGCGGAATTTATTTATTTTCAAATTTTAATCGAGAGATGTTATTCTATAGGAAATTAACAAATTAATCACTAGAAAATTTTATACAACTTAAAATGAAATGTAATGTATTGTAATGTTTATACATATATATAT